CGACAAGGTGCCGTTCCCGCTGTGCATCAGTCACGGCGGCGGCGGCTGGCGCGTGTGGCGGCGTGTCACGTTCGCCGCCGCGCGCGTGGACGTGCGGCGCGTGGCGCGCTGGGCGCCGACCGGCCTTGTGGTCGCTGCGCCTGGACTGGCGCAGACTGAGGACCTACGCGGCGTGATGCTGCGCGTGCGCTTCCTCAACTACTACCCGTACGTCTTCTGCCCGCACAAGGCTGCCGGCGGCCTCTGCACCGCGCCGTACGACCGGCCCGAGACGAACCTGGTCGACGTGCTCGCCGCCAAGCTCAACTTCCGCTTCGAGCTGCGCGAGCACCCGCGGCGCTCGTGGGCGAGCCGCGCGCCGAACGGCACCTGGAGCGGCCTGCTCTCGAGTGTGGTGTACGGCGCCGCTGACCTTGCCGTCGGCGGCATCTCCGTCACCGCCGAGCGCGCCAGCGCCGTCGACTTCCTCCGTGAGTTCACGGTGGTGCACTCGATCTTCGTGACGCACCGGCCGCCCCCGCTGCCGCCGTACATGACGATCCTAGCGCCGTTCTCGCCACGACTCTGGGCGCTGGTGCTGGCGTCGGTGCTGCTGGTGGGCGCTGTGTCGGCGCTGCAGCGGCGACGACGGCTCGACCTGGCGCTGCTCGATGCGTACAAGGTGATCGTCGCGCAGAGCTCGGGGCGCGTGGTGCGCTGCGCGCGGAACCGCCTACTGACCGGCATCTGGCTGCTGACGGCCTTCATCGTGGCCTGTATGTACACCAGCAACCTGACGTCCTTCCTCATCAACGGCGCTCCGGGCGTGCCGGTGGAGACGGTGGCGCAGCTGGCGGCGAGCCCCCTACGCCTCGCCGTCTCGCGCAGCAACAAGATGTTCCTAGAGTGGCTGGCGGAGCGACGGGGCGCTCAGTACGTCGCCCTCCGTCGGAAGGTGGTCAAGGTGCCCAGCTTGCGGGCGTCCTTCCACGCACACGCGGAGGGCCACGCGTTGGCGCACGTATTCGAGGACGAGTACTTCGAGTACATGCTGTGCGAGACCATCCTGGAGAAGCGCGGCGCGCTCTGGCCGGAGGACCTCGTCGTCAGCCGCGACACGTTCATGCCGTCCGGGCTGGCCGTCCCGGTGCAGAGGAACGCGCCGTACGGCCGCAGGATGGGTGCGCTCGTCCAGCGGCTCACCGACTCCGGCATCATGCGCAAATGGCTCTCCGACGCGCTCTTCTCGCTGCGCCTCCGCGCGCTCCGCGCCAACGTGGCGGCGTGCCGCCGCGACGCCACCCTCTGCGGGCCGACGGTCGAGCGGCGACCGCTCAGTCTCCAGCACCTGCAGGGGCCGCTGGCGCTGCTGGCGCTGGGCTACGTGCTCGCGCTGGCGGCGTTCGTCGTCGAGGTGCAGCTGCACAACGTGAAGAGGCTGCGCGGCTGGCGGCAGAAGCGGCGCGCGAGGCTGGCGATGCTGCAGGCGGTGGCCGCGATCAACGTGGGGAAGAAGGCGTCGCTGGGGGCGCGGGCGCCGCGCCCCTAGCCAGGGTCGGCGAGGGCTGAATGGATGAAGGTGGAGGGGAGGATCGGCGGGTGTGGCGCCGGCTGCCTGCAAACGTGGCTGAACTGAAGTGAAGTCCGAAGTGATTGATGTGGCTTGAACTATGGACACTCCAGTCCCTGTTCAAGGGGTTCGATGTTTGTGGCTTATGTGTTCCCAGAATGAGAACGCCGTTGTGTGTGGTTTATGTTCCCCAGCCGGATCAGCTTTCCAATGGTTTGTGTGCCCCCGGGCATAGGAAGTTGTCGATGGCTTATGTGCCCTTGGCAGAGTTTGACGCAGTCAAACATGGTTGGCGCCCAAAGACGCATGCTGCTGGTGCGGATACCGTGCTGCGGCTCCACAATCGGCTCGTCATGCCGCTGGCTGCGGGTACCGTGCTACGGCTCCACAATCGACTCGTTATGCTGCTGGTAGCGGGTACCGTGCTACGGCTCCCCAATCGACTCGTTATGCTGCTGGTAGCGGGTACCGTGCTACGGCTTCCCAATCGACTCGTTATGCTGCTGGTAGCGGGTACCGTGCTGTGGCTCCCCAATCGGCTCGTTGTGCTGCTGGTAGCGGATACCGTGCTACGGCTCCCCAATCGGCTCGTTATGCTGCTGGTAGCGGGTACCGTGCCGCGGCTCCCCAATCGGCTCGTTATGCTGCTGGTAGCGGGTACCGTGCTGCGGCTCCATAATCGGCTCGTTATGCTGCTGGTAGCGGGTACCGTGCCGCGGCTCCCCAATCGGCTCGTTATGCTGCTGGTAGCGGGTACCGTGCTACGGCTCCACGATCGGCTCGTTATGCTGCTGGTAGCGGGTACCGTGCTGTGGCTCCCCAATCGACTCGTTATGCTGCTGGTAGCGGGGTACCGTGCTGCGGCTCCACAATCGGTTCGTCAGAAATGCCGGCGCGTGCATTCACATGAACAGTCTGGGAGTAAGGCATGTGCCTTTGTTCCTAAGATTCACGTAGATAAAAGGTAAAAAAGAACGCCTGATGGCGTCGCGCGCATTGTGTCCTGCCATTGAGTCGAAGTGAACGCACCAAGCTCCTATATATAAACTCAGCTGTATAGCACCAGCGCCGCACTGGCATGACTGAAGTAAATATGACATGTTTGACTGACTAGAAGGGCGCTTCGAACCAATGTGGTATAAGCCGTCGAACGATGACGCATCCGACTAGGAGATGGAAATAGTCCAAAAGAGCTATAGCACACGTGTGAGCTAGCCGTTGGAATTAACGTTAAAGAGCACACTTGTCCAAGCGTATCCCTTGCCACCACCGCTGTCTGTCCTTATCATATCATGTTTTGAATAAGACCTAAGATTGCATTGCTGTATATTGTCAATATGCTGTCGTAATTGCACAAGAAGTGCAGTCAGCCATTACGCGATGGATCTGGGCCCAGCTGTGAGCCCAGATGTGTTGTCACAGGTAAGTGGTCCTACACACTGCTGTGTTGATAAGACTAGCTAGGTACTCGAGCTGTTCTTGAGCACCATAATTCTCGCACGAAATACACAATTTTCTGAAAATAGAGACGCACGAATGCAGTTAATCAAGGCAAGCGTCAAACCGTAAGAGTGGTGATAGTGCCCACTCGTTGAGAGCTGCTTGCAAAGATGTGGGCCGCTCGCAATGCAGATTATTTTCCAATAAAGGCGCTTTTTATGGTGAAAAATTCCTTACTTTTTTGTTTTACAGCATTGACATAAGCTATTGCTTTTAACCTCAGGTGCCCAGGGCCTACCCCATGTTAACGATGGGCCAGAAATCACGTCTTAAGCTTTTGCGAGCAAGGGAGTATTGCTGCTTGTTTAAGTTTTGCATCGTATTGGAGAGCCAGGTCTATCCCGCGTTTGACTTGCCCCTCTGCTCCCCCTAAGTGATGACACCAGAATGCGCTAAAACACTCAGGGGACGGTGGGGTTACGTGTTGTGTCGTACTGAATGTCCCGACCCGTTCCGCTCGCTCCCATTTGCAAAGTTCTGTCTCTGTGGAAAGATCAGTGGCTGGCAGGTGCCTACCAGTGTCGTACAGAGCAAACTAGATTACCATTTTATACCCAGCAGAAGCTGTGTCAGCTAGGTAAACAAGCAATCGAACGCAGTGATGTCACAAGAAAGGCTAAAACACCTCCGGTCCGATTTAGTAGAGTCACATCCTAAAAAAACAATCCTTTGCAAATGTTCGTTGCGTCCGTCTTGTATCTGCTTTTGGAACTCATCGGGAGCAGCACCACACGAAAAAATATGCCTCCAGGGCCTACACATGCTTATAGGTCCACTTCACTGATAGACAGCACGCCGCGCATACAGCATGAAAAATGACGTTTTAATCGCACATCCACACTGCGGCAAGCTCACTACACGGCAGCTTCGTCACCGCACGTCTCGCACTTTTCACATGCTATTTAGCGGCACATGGGCGCATTCAGTGGCACCCATATAACCCACGTGAATGGCGCATGCGTATTGATGCCTGTAACACGACGTGAACTTCGCACGTTGCCATCATCTATAACCTTGTCAGCCATTCTTCCACTCCGGTCAGCCCTCCTTGTTTGCTGCTTTTCGTGGTAACGATCTTCTGTCGACGAAAAGGATGCAGGGCAATGACGGATTAGCATCTGTGGTCTCATTCCGGTCGCATCTTGTCCTTTTGTATCGGTTTTTACCGAGGACGAATCTAACACACACGTTGGAGGCATGTTTCTAAGGTAGTGTCAGGTGCTCAAAAATGTAGAGAAAAGTGTCTGTAAAAACAATACATGGTTTTTATCGTCTTAAGTGGCCATGGCCCCCTCTGTCTTCCGTTCTGTTTGGGTCCACCGGGAACTTCGTGCGCCGACCTCAGTGGTTTTCGCGTGTCACATGTGCAGTTACCATTCGACTTAAAAGATCGGCCATAAGAAATGCTTCTTTTCAATGTATTTTACCACCCACATAGTGTGCAGCGCCACGAGGACTGCATTCACAAGCCGGCTGTGACGGGAACTGCAAAACTGTCAGCACTGAGTCTTGAACCCAGGACCTCTCGCTCGTTAGGCGACGGTTCTCGACCTCCTCGACTGGTCTTCGGCGTCTGCGGGATCTCAGCCAGTGCACTAGTCCTCAAGCACCTTTATTCGGAAATTAGTAAAGTTTAGCGTCACCAGCTGCAGCGTGCGGACGCCAGTAATCACCGCAGCCGTTCGCTTCCCAAGGAGACATCGCCGTACCGGCTCGGCATGAAGAATGGCTGTCAGTGGGCTCATCACGGTTTTTTTTTGGAGCTCAGGGCTGCTTTGCGTATTTCTCATTAAAAGGATACTGGGATACATAAACCTTGTTCCGCATTTGCCACTTGGCCTTTCGCCGTACCCCTGCGCGCACCGACATGGTTCCGGCAGCTTTAGGACAGGATCTTTTGAGCCGATTGACACAGGTGTCTCTGCTTCTTGATTTGCAAGTTTCTCCGCAGGTGAAGACGTGCAAGCCAGCCATGGGCTTCAGCTTTGCCGCCGGCACCACTGACGGGCCAGGAGCCTTTGACTTCACTCAGTCGGACACGTCAGGTCAGTACTGGGCAGGCGCGGGTGGGTCTTAGGCGAGTCTCAGACGGGTCTCAGGCGGGTCTCAGGCGAGTCCCAGGCGGGTCCCGAGCGGGTCTCAGGCGTGTCCCGAGCGAATCTCAGGCGGGTCTCAGGCGTGATGCAGGCGGGTCCCGGGCGGGTCCCAGGTGGGTCTCCGGTGGGTTCCAGGCGGGTCTCAGGCGGGTCTCAGGCGTGATGCAGGCGGGTCCCGGGCGGGTCCCAGGTGGGTCTCCGGTGGGTCTCAGGCGGGTCCCAGGCGGGAACCAGGTGGGTCTCCGGCGGGTCCCAGGCGGGTCTCAGGCGGGTCTCAGGTGGGTCCCAGGCGGGAACCAGGTGGTACATGTGCCTTCGGTGGCAGCGGGGAAAGTGTTGTGAAGAAGATAGGATAGCGTAGTGTACCCTCTCGATCACGGCATGGACCGCAAGACTCTCAACCACTTATGATCCTCAAGTTATTGATGCTTCTTTCTTTTCTTGATTTGGACCCATCAGGAACCAGCAAGCGATGGCAGCCGATCCTTTCATACATGGGTCTTCTTCTCGATTAACACACCGTTTATCGTTGGTCGTGAATGACCCTCCTGAACGCATCGCTCCAACCGGACATGCGGTATGAACAAGAGGCGTATTTTGTGGATTTAAAGGACCCGTCGAAACAACCACGCTGGGTGACCGGGCGCGTTCCCCCACCCTGTCAGGTGACGGGGCGGGCGGCCGCCCGCGACTTGACCTTGACTTGGACGTTTGACCAGCATATGCGCGTTATGTTGCGCAGGCAACCTCTTCTGGGATGCGATTCGTAACATGATCAAGAAAGCCGTCCGAAGAGCTGAAGCAGTGCCATCACCCGAAGCCGATCCTGCTGCCCACGGGCGAGGTGAGGGCCCGCCTTGGCACACGTGTCTGCCGTGTCTTCCACTCGAATCTATGGCTACGGAAACATGCGAGAATAAAATACGGGACGGTGGAAAAAGTGGAGAATGGGAATCACGGAGGATGGGAACAGCGGAGAGAACAGGAATTGCGAATAATGAGAATAAAAGGGGATGGGAATAGCGGGTAAGAAAGGATGACGGGGAGGATGGAAATAGCGGATGATGGAAATAACGGGTGGTAGAAGTAACAGAGAATAGGAAAGTGAAAAGCTGGAAGTAGCAGATATGGGAATAACGGAGCATGAGATACGCTCAGAATGACACACACGGACGCTGCAAATACACGGAGGCTGGGAGGTACGGAATGAAAATGGCGGTCATCCCACTGTATTGAACGTCGATAGCACTCCTTCTCCTCGGCATGTCAAGCTTTCACTGGGGGATATCACTGAATGGGTGTAGTCAGTCCTTTTAATTTGGAATAGGTAAAGGTGAGATGATAGATAATTGAAAGCCTGTCATATGAGATAGATTTGCTAATTAAATGCATGAAAATATTTCGTAACTTCTATTCAGGTATGGCATTACGAGATGGCTTGACCCACGATATAAGTGTAGCAAGACGATTTAAGGGACCGTAAAGGTCGTTGTAACGAGGTAGTTCAATGCGTGTAGATATGAAACGACCCGCCTTTGTTTGCAGCCTAATGAGATGAGAGCGCCGAATTTCGGGCGCGTCGACCTCTGCGGTCATTTTAGCAGAAGGAATTGGGATGCCCTGAAGTAGCTTCAACCATTTAGATCCCGTATGGGAATAAACCCGCCAATATTTGGGTTGTTTAAATACCAAACGGAAATAAACGTCCCTGATGGGAATAGAAAAGCTAGCAATACAAACCATGTGAATTAGAAAATGGGACCATAAGAGGCTGTGTGCACAAGAGAGTATAGCAAATAAGATTCATTGGGAAAAGGCTTTGGAAGAAGTGTTTTGGGAACAAGAGTTATTTTATTTGGATTATGAGAGAGTGACGTGAAAAATAAAGAACTTTGAAATGAAAGATTAAGAGGACAACGCGTAATGATACCATGATGGGCGACATAGACTTGTGACTATGAAACTACATAACTATCGGAGAACTGCCAGAAAATTGGTTAAACCTTTCAACGTCTGTGCGTTCGCATCTAGGCAGGAAGCATTCCAAGGTCACCTTGCCACCTGTCATTCCGCTACCATTTGCAACAGCATGATTGATGATGAAGCAGGCGGACGTCACAGACCCGCCTATGGCTGTAATAACCGGATGCCAACATGTTCAATGCCCCTAACTGCACCCGTCGTCGAATGTTGCTTCGATCTGGTTCGAGACACCGGGTTTAGGGCTTGAAGGCGCCGTTTTTCACACGCGGACGGGTGCAAGGCTCCCCAGGGTAATGGCCTGTCGCATGTCCAGTATCGTTAGCAACGGAGCTGTGTTTTCGGCGGCAAATGACGTCACTGGTCGAACATCCGCCCTCCGCGCGCGAGGCAAGCCTGCTTGTCGAACGTGCGCGCGTGCTTACTCTACGACTTAGTAATTACTGTACCAAGCGGCATAGGAATTGCGCATGATTGATCGTTATTGACATTGTTATGGCTTCAAGTACACATACGTGAAATTTACTCGGCGAAGCCGCGCACGTAGAGTATTATTAATGATAGCAATATGTGATTGAGTGGATAGACAGCGTCTTTGTTGGGCTGTGCGGGTTAATGGGTTTGAACTGAAAAGGTCTTATAGCGCGGGGAAAGAGGATCGCCAGTGATCACACGTAATGCAATTTCCATGATCATGGAGCATGTTACCTTGTGATAGACTTGTTGCGTGCTCTCTCTCTCTCTCTCTCTCTCTCTCTCTCTCTCTCGCTCTTCTCCTCTCTCTCTCTCCTCTCTCTCTCTCTCTCTCTCCTCTCTCTTCTCTCTCTCTCTCTCTCTCTCTCTCCTCTCTCTCTCTCTCTATCCTCCTCTCTCTCTCTCTCTCTCTCTCTATCTCTCTTCTCTCTCTCTCTCTCTCTCTCTCTCTCTCTATCTCCCTCTCTCTCTTCTCTTCTCTTTTCCACTCTCTCTCTCTCTCTCTCTCCCTCTCGCTCGCTTGCTCGCTTTTTCACTTTAACGACCTTATTCACGGGCTCCTTCGCGGGCTTTTTGCCCCTAAGACTTATTTTTCCTTTCTAGATAAATGACGCATTAATACGCCACTAGACGCAAAACGGCGAACCTCAATCGGATGCGTACATTTCTTCCATGGTCCGTATAGTGGCTGTATTTGCTAATTGTGCGGTGGGGTGTGATGAATATCAATTTGCAAAAATACCAGCCACTGAAAAGCAATTATCTTTGTATTACAAGCATGAAAATCAAAGATACCAACAAAGAAAGGTATTACCTCATTTCGGAAGGAAGAGTTAACTTATATTTTTTCGGTGTGAGGTTTCATACGAAAGTCTATACATTGCACAAAGGCAATGCATCCATCGCCGAATTGCTGAGTGTGACCGCTTTGATCATTACTGGAAGCGGCGTTTGGTTGGAAACCTGCAAAACATATTTGATGTGCTGTAAATTATTTCCTGCGACTTGATGCAAGCATAACCAACCGTCGACCTACCAGGCGCTCCCAGCTCACATCCGTACGGTTGCTTTATATTGTGGGCCCTCACTGCACAACGTCGTTGCATCTTATTCTCTAGTCCTCGCGAAATGAGCTCGGGTGTTTCGTCTATCACAAAACCGATATCCCTTACGCAGCGTCGCAACTTTGTCTACAGCTTCGCACCGAGTTTTCCTGTGACACGTATCTCGCGTCTCCGTTCAGCCCATGCACCTTCGTGACGTCATCATTTTCAACACGTCTGATCGGTTCGCACAGCTCTGTTCAGTGCTGTGCAATTGTCGGAGTTGTCACAGTTTTTACTGCCGCCAGATCGGGTTCCCGTACGACTGGAAACAAGCGTGGTACCGGTTCAGCTTGCGCTTCGGTGACGTCATCATCATCGGCATGCCGGGGAGCTGACGACCATGGCGGGCAGACGAATCAGGGACGCGGTCAGTCGATTTCAGACAAATCAGAGGAGCGGAAACTTCCCTGCTCACCACGCGGCAAATATGCGGTCCTAAGGCAACAGGAGTGCTGGAGAGGAGTAGGATTGAGGAGACTCACAAGCTGGCCACTGAATAAAAAAAGCCACTCGAAGATGATAGCAACTCCGCTAACTGTTGGAGACCATTGTCTTTGCTAGGTGGGATGTTGCCAAGATCCGAACCGACTGTATCGAGGAACTCTAGTTCAGTGTGCGATCTTAGGTGGTGTAGCAATGACGATTTGGGAGCTGGGGACAATATCAATTAAAGCTACACTCTAACGCATGCGCACTGCCATTGCACCGCCGTCTTGTGTCAGCTTAAGCTTCTGGTCAGTTGCCAACGACTAGTGCGAGCGAATCTCATAAGGGCATATAATGGGCGAACGAACCGCACGTCTTCCGTACAGTGGACCAGCGATGCCTGCGTCATCCAAACCTAGCCACTGGTGTAGTGTTGGAGGTAGCTAGGGAGGGTGATAGATGCTATTTGCGGGTCCCCTGTTTTCATGCAAGGTCACACGCGTGCGCGCCACCGCGCCGCGAGGTGGCTGCGGACGCGGGCCCTGAAGTCCAGATCGGCTATCTAGGCGGAAGAGCCGCGACATATTGTTTGTTGGAGCCCCTTCCATGTCGGGATGGTCCTGCAATTCCGGCGGGCAAATTGGCTGAAATGTAAATGCTCATGAAACCAGGTATGCAATGGCAAAACATCCATAGAAAAGGCAGTTAGTGCTTAAACGACTTTACCACTGTACGCCGTCGACCTCCGTCGACCGTCGACCGTCGACCTTCGACCGTCGACCCCGCCGTCCGGTTAGCTCTGCGATCGTGGGAGCCGACAGAGTGGAGGGAATGTCCGACGCTTTCCCACGTGTGTCGTTTGACCTCAGGTGGCCGCCACGTTCGCGGAGGCCGGTGAGACGGTCCAGGTGGCGATCGCAGGCCTGTCCAACACCTACTCCGACTACGTCACCACCTTAGAGGAGTACCCACGTAAGATGGTCCAGGTCCATGCCCGGCACTGTTCTACGTCACAAACCTTCGAGTAGTACTACGTAAGATGGTCCAGGTCTTATGTCCGGCAACTGTTCTACGTCACCATCTTCGAAAAGTAATACGTAAGATGGTCCAGGTCCCTGCCGGTGCCTGTTCTACGTCACCACTTCGAGGAGTACCACGTGAGATGGTCCAGGTCCCATGCCCGGCACCTGTTCTACGTCACCACCTCGAGGAGTACCACGTAAGATGGTCCAGGTCCATGCCGGAACCTGTTCTACGTCACCACCTTCGAGGAGTACACGTAAGATGGTCCAGGTCCCATGCCCGGCACCTGTTCTACGTCACCACCTTCGAGTAGTACTACGTAAGATGGTCCAGGTCTTATGTCCGGCACCTGTTCTACGTCACCATCTTCGAAAAGTACTACGTAAGATGGTCCAGGTCCCATGCCCGGTGCCTGTTCTACGTCACCACCTTCGAGGAGTACCACGTGAGATGGTCCAGGTCCCATGCCCGGCACCTGTTCTACGTCACCACCTTCGAGGAGTACCACGTAAGATGGTCCAGGTCCCATGCCCGGCACCTGTTCTACGTCACCACCTTCGAGGAGTGAGTACACGTAAGATGGTCCAGGTCCATGCCCGGCACCTGTTCTACGTCACCACCTTCGAGGAAGTACCACGTAAGGGTCCAGGTTCCCATGCCCGGCACTGTCTACGTCACCATTCGAGGAGTACCACGTAAGATGGTCCAGGTCCCATGCCGGCACTGTTTACGTCACCCATTCGAGGGTACCACGTAAGATGGTCCAGGTCCCATGCCGGCACCTGTTCTACGTCACCACCTTCGAGGAGTACACGTGAGATGGTCCAGAGGTCCCATGCCCGGCGCCTGTTCTACGTCACCACCTTCGAGGAGTACCACGTAAGATGGTCCAGGTCCCATGCCCGGCACCTGTTCTACGTCACCACCTTCGAGGAGTACCACGTAAGATGGTCCAGGTCCCATGCCCGGCACCTGTTCTACGTCACCACCTTCGAGGAGTACCACGTGAGATGGTCCAGGTCCCATGCCCGGCGCCTGTTCTACGTCACCACCTTCGAGGAGTACTACGTAAGATGGTCCAGGTCTTATGTCCGGCACCTGTTCTACGTCACCACCTTCGAGGAGTACCACGTAAGATGGTCCAGGTCCCATGCCCGGCACCTGTTCTACGTCACCACCTTCGAGGAGTACCACGTAAGATGGTCCAGGTCCCATGCCCGGCACCTGTTCTACGTCACCACCTTCGAGGAGTACCACGTGAGATGGTCCAGGTCCCATGCCCGGCGCCTGTTCTACGTCACCACCTTCGAGGAGTACTACGTAAGATGGTCCAGGTCTTATGTCCGGCACCTGTTTCTACGTCACCACCTTCGAGGAGTACCACGTAAGAGGTCCAGGTCTTATGTCCGGCACCTGTTCTACGTCACCACCTTCGAGGAGTACCAAGTGAGATGGGTCCAGGTCCCATGTCCGGCACCTGTTCTACGTCACCACCTTCGAGGAGTACCACGTGAGATGGTCCAGGTCCATGCCCGGCACCTGTTCTACGTCACTACCTTCGAGGAGTACCACGTAAGATGGTCCAGGTCCATGCCCGGCACCTGTTCTACGTTCACCACCTTCGAGGGAGTTACAACCGTAAGATGGTCCATGGTCCCATGCCCAGCGCACCCTGTTTCTACGTCACCACCTTCGAGGAGTACCACGTGAATGATGGTCCAGGTCCCATGCCCGGCACCTGTGTTTCTACGTCAACCACCTTCGAGGAGTACCACGTGAGATGGTCCAGGTCCCATGCCGCGGCACCTGTTCTACGTCACCACCTTCCGAGGAAGTTACCACGGTGAGATGGTCCAGGTCCCATGCCCGGCACTGTTCTACGTCACCTACCTTCGAGGAGTACCACGTTAGATGTCCAGGTCCATGCCGGCACCTGTTCTACGTCACCACCTTCGAGGAGTACACGTGAATGGTCCAGGTCCCATGCCCGGCACCTGTTCTACGTCACCACCTTGAGGAGTACTACGTGAGATGGTCCAGGTCCCATGCCCGGCACCTGTTCTACGTCACCACCTTCGAGGGAGTACAGTGAGTGGTCCAGGTCCCATGCCCGGCGCCTGTTCTACGTCACCACCTTCGAGGAGTACCACGTGAGATGGTCCAGGTCCCATGCCCGGCGCCTGTTCTTTACGTCACCACCTTCGAGGAGTACCACGTGAGATGGTCCAGGTCCCATGCCCGGCACCTGTTCTACGTCACCACCTTCGAGGAGTACCACGTGAGATGTCCAGGTCCCATGCCGGCACTGTTCTACGTCACCACCTTCGAGGAGTACCACGTGAGATGGTCAGGTCCCATGCCGGCACCTGTTCTACGTCACCACCTTCGAGGAGTACCACGTGAGATGGTCCAGGTCCCATGCCGGCACCTGTTCTACGTCACCACCTTCGAGGAGTACCACGTGAGATGGTCAGGGTCCATGCCGGCGCCTGTTTACGTCACCACTTCGAGGAGTACCAACGTGAGATGGTCCAGGTCCCATGCCCGGCACTGTTCTACGTCACCACTTCGAGGAGTACCACGTGAGATGGTCAGGTCCATGCCCGGCACCTGTTCTACGTCACCACCTTCGAGGAGCACCACGTGAGATGGTCCAGGTCCCATGCCCGGCACCTGTTCTACGTCACACACTTCGAGGAGAGTACCACGTGAGATGGTCCAGGTCCCATGCCCGGCACCTGTTCTACGTCACCACCTTCGAGGAGTACTACGTAAGATGGTCCAGGTCCCATGCCCGGCACACCTGTTCTACGTCACCACCTTCGGGAGTAACCACGTGAGATGGTCCAGGTCCCATGCCCGGCGCCTGTTCTACGTCACCACCTTCGAGGAGTACCACGTAAGATGGTCCAGGTCCCATGCCCGGCGCCTGTTCTACGTCACCACCTTCGAGGAGTACCACGTGAGATGGTCCAGGTCCCATGCCCGGCACCTGTTCTACGTCACCACCTTCGAGGAGTACACGTGAGATGGTCCAGGTCCCATGCCCGGCGGCCTGTTCTACGTCACCACCTTCGAGGAGTACCACGTGAGATGGTCCAGGTCCCATGCCCGGCACCTGTTCTACGTCACCACCTTCGAGGAGTACCACGTGAGGATGGTCCAGGTCCCATGCCCGGCACCTGTTCTACGTCACCACCTTCGAGGAGTACCACGTGAGATGGTCCAGGTCCCATGCCCGGCACCTGTTCTACGTCACCACCTTCGAGGAGTACCACGTGAGATGGTCCAGGTCCCATGCCCGGCACCTGTTCTACGTCACCACCTTCGAGGAGTACCACGTGAGATGGTCCAGGTCCCATGCCCGGCACCTGTTCTACGTCACCACCTTCGAGGAGTACTACGTAAGGAAGTCAGGGTTCCATGCCCCACACCTGTTCTACGTCACCACCTTGAAGAAGTGCAATATAAGAAACGTCAACTTCTTTGTCCGAACTTAATTCACGTCACCACCCTCGGGGAGTACCACGTAAGATGATCCAGGTCCAATGTCCGACACCTGTTCCGCATCACCACCTTCGAGGACTACCACATGATATCGTTCAGGGTTTTGTCCAACGTCTGCCTCGCCCACACCAACCAACAAGGAGTACTAAGTGAGACTCAGATTTTTCTGTCGGCGCCCGTTTCACCGACAGTTCACCCTACAGAAATTCACCCAGTTCACCCAGTTCACCTCACCCTAGATGAGCGTAAGGCGTCAGTCACTCCGCCAGACCCTCTGTTGAACACATGCCCGCACTTTGTTCTCACATTCGAGGAGAGCCAGATAAGCTGGCTGAGACTTACTGAGAATTCAAGCGGCAGCGTCGACGTTCTAAGTAGAAAACATCTCGCTACCACGCAACGCCTTCTCGCTTCCCTTGTGCAATGGGTCATGCTTGCGTGCATTGGTTACTGCGGCTGTGCGCGTTGTTCAGCGCTGGACTGTGTCTGGGACTTTAACCAGCAGTGACCACCACGAAGGTGCGGACCCCGCTTCGAACTCCCGAGCGCATCGTGATGTCACAGCTCTCTCCACGCAAGACTCGCACGCTACATGGCCAGTTCAGCATCATTCCCAGCTGAAGCCTCCTGTGGAAGGCACAACATCCATCTTCAGCACTAAACCTCCACACTAGACACTGCATACATGCACATTACATACAAACCTACTGCCCCATTTTGCCCAGGATCTCAGTCTGTCCTCACAGCATCCGCCCTTCTCTTGTTTACAGAAAACAGCGCTACGAAGGCGCGTCCCACCGTGTACGGCCCTCCACACGCATCAGGCCTATTTGCAGAAGTTCCAGGAGCTGGCCAGCAAGATGATTCAGGTAATGGGGCCAGTTTGTGATGCTCCGTTGAGAAACGGCTCTCTCTCATTTGCGATCATGTTGTACACTTGAAACTGCGATGATATCATGTTCTTTTGGTTGATTGGTGTTAGTCTGCAAACCTTATCACACAGGACATCATCAGCTGTAAGTATCACGCATTGTGCTTTCACTGTAACTGGCTGTTGTACTTGCAACCTTATCTATTTCGGACGGTTATTTTGGGGCCACAAAGCATTGGCGTTGTTCCCCGCCTTGCTTTCTGTCTCACGGACTGCCAACAAACTTTGTGAACCCCCCGAACCGCCCCCCTTTCCCAGATAGTCCTTGTGTTAAATAGCATACAATCGACGGGGTAAGATTTTGTGAGCCCCTACCGCACCCCGCCCCCCCCCCCCCCCCCAGCAAGAAACTTCCATGGCCTTACGCTTCCGCGGACGAGGACATAACCCCGGCATGATTTGTGAGCCTCTGTGCCTTCAGGGAACTCCAGTGTCAGACGAGGCGCAGCCTCCGGACATGCTCTCCAGGCAGATGAGCTTCGTTCCGCCAGTGGTCTTCGACGCAGCGCCCCTGGGCCAGAGCTTTGGTGACGTCACCCAGCAGCCGCCAGCCAACGCGTTCCCGGGCCAATCAGTGGCCGCCAAATTTGTGAGTCCGCAGAGAGACGGAAGACAAGGTTCATCCGGGCAGATTTCAAGAACCTTTGGCAATCGAGCCTAAACCTGGACGCAAGGGCTTGCGACGCTGTCAAGGCTCATACACTCCTGTGTAACGCTTCAAATGATACACAATTTCTGTCACAAGATATCAGTCATGACATCATGAGTATTGAGATCAAAATTATGCTGCAAACCATCACAATTGGAAAGAAAGCAAAATATGGCAGAAACACACATTTTCCCAAAGCAAGTTTTCAGTTATCCGAGGAGTGTAGACAACAACGGAGCATACTTATAAATAGCGTTTGAGATATCACGCAGACGCATAGCAAGGAATGTAAGCTTACTAATCACGTGTGAAAAATTACATAAATGTACAAACTTTTACATAAATGTTAACCCGTTACTTAAATGTAAACCTTATTGATGTAATGTGGACCTCATAATCAAATGTACACGTTATTCCTTCAATGTAAACCTTATTAATGCACTATGAAGGTGTTTGTTACGCTGGTCTTTGTTCAATGCAGTCAACCAATTCTCTGTACGCAGCTTTTTGGGCTGCTTACAGAAAGTTGGTTGATAATACACATTATCATAATGCACTAACACACATTACCACGTCATGTATCTCGTTTCTTTCCTACCCAACAGATATCGGGACATCCGCGGAATAATCCGATGACGGGCAAATCGTTCCTGGAGGTTCTCAAACAGCAGCAGGACGGCAGCTGGGGTGTGGTCGCTACCGACGCCTCCTGGGAAACATTGTGAGTCCCCCATTTGCCAGCGCCTTGGTCATCTTGGTGTGTAATCTTGACTCAGCCAAGCTGAGTCAAGAGCTGTAAATCAGGCACATAGCGAGGCATGTAAGAGAATGTGCCATTCGAGGGACCAGATGAGTATCCCGACGTATGTGCGTCGCGGTTGGATGTTCGTCTTCTGCTGCCGGTGATGGCGGTAAAATACCACGTCCCATCACTGAATGTGGTGGGGAAAACGCGTGCCGGAAGCATCCACGGTAGCGCTCATTCACAGCGAAGAGGGATTGTCTCCATGCCGTCGGTCTCGCTGGGAATGTTTCCATGTCGTCGGTTTCGCTGGGATTGCTTCCATGTCGTCGGCCTCGTTCCTCTGCTCGCGTTTGTCGGCATTCGGCCCCAGCAAGCAACCCTCAGGTTTTTGTTTTGCACGCGAATCGTGTTAAAGTATTTTCCTGTTCATTATCTGTTGAATGCTAGTCGTTGGCCTTCACGTGAGTTTACACGTGACTCGTTCTAACGCATCCTTGCGTTCGTGATCTGCTACACGTCAGGCGTTGGTGTTCGCGCGCGTGTGCACGCGTAGCTCGTGCTTGCGATTCGAGTTTTCCATATGACGTTGCTGCTTTTCCAGTTTCAAGTGGACGCGCACCAACAGCGTGCTGGGGCACTCGGAGGTCACCTGCACCTGGAACATTCCCGCGGACGTCGACCCCGGCACCTACAAAATCAGGGTATGAATCAGACGCACCGTTGCAATCAGAGAATTAATTGTAGCAACGGCTGCTAGTGCCTGTACATTTAGTAGGAAGTGTATGATCAGGGAAAACGAATGGGTCAAAAATAAAATATTCCCAAGCATTTCTTGAGCTTCAACTGTCCTTGTCTCCCCCTCCCTCGATCCCTCGGTATGTGAACGCTCCCTGCGCTCCTGATGCCGGCGACATCTCCACAGCACATGGGATACCACAAGCCAGCGCTGTCCTTTCTGCGACGGGTCGCGCAGAAGGTCGGTAACTTCTTCGCCAACATGATGGGCATGAAGCCCATTCGCCTGCAAACCGCCGTCTATTACGAGGGGGAGACCAGCCCCTTCGAGGTACGTGTTGCCGCGCCGCGATGGCGGCGCAACCGACAGAACATCGGGGCTCTGTATGAAACCCGAGTTCGATTCCCGTCAGTTGCTAGTGTCGTTGTGTGCTTATAAGATCGTGGCAGTCGCTGCTCTCCATAAGTGACTGGAAAACGACGTGCTCGAAGATGCTTGCAGAGTCATACAGGTTCGACGCGGCGTGAACGTGCATCTCTTATAGAGGCGTAACGGGATGCAAGGCAACGTGCCCATGCATCCCGCGGGAGGCTCTTAAGAGGCTCGAGGGGGGCTCACGAGGGCCTCAACATCGCCACCAGCCTGGTGTTGGTGCTGGCGTCACTCTTCAGGCTTGAATTGTTTGGTGCCGCTGAGGATTGTTTTGGGCGAGGAGGAGACTTGCCTCGTCGGCGGCAGAGTTTGATGCTGAGAGGGGATGTTCTCACCCGCAGCTTGTCGACTATGAAAATGCTTTTTTTAGATATCTTGAGAACGTCTGCTCATGCTGACACTTGCTGACTAGCTCGGAATCACTGCCCGCATTATGACATGGGTAATGGCTAGCAGTTTAATTTATCTTTTTGAAGTAGTCGCATTTGACCAATGGACAAGACTGGACGTTGACTCCCGCACTCGTTTTTGATGCCAACGTTCGGTTCGATGGGAGTGAGTAGCCTCGATATGGATAATTTTAGTGTGGTGAAACACATCTCCATGTGGATCTGCCACTATGTACCCGGATCAAAACAATATTTGTGGCTGCTGCAGTGCAAGGATTCATCGACATTCACTTTCGCTTGTTCGTTTTTAACGTTCATTTTCTACCTCGTTTATGACCGTGACGTCATTTTTATCTTTCAGATTGCCGAGCCGTGGCTGGTTCTCCGTTCCGGAAAATGAGCCTGTGTCGGGAATGGGAGTACGACGATATCCAGGAGAAACAAAGGCATTACGTGACGGGCTGTCTATGTGCGCTCCACTAATAGACATGTTGGAATCACGTGTTGGTTTCGTTACTTTACTGCGTGTAGCTGCCGGTATTATCCTCTGCGTCGTCGAGGTGACATGGCATACACTTTTGCATCCAAGTGATTTACATGCGTGCATAAACTAAAGGCTAGAAACTGCTATAGATAGAAATTTATCCTGGATGCTGACAACATTCCTTGAAGCACGCAATGTTCTTTGCAAATACTTTTAAACTTGCGTTATTTACATGAAACCTGACTATCTAGCTGTACGCTTTTCTTTCACTGTATGCGAAATAACTATCGAGAATCAAACAAAGCTAACGCAACCATACCTGATCCATTATCCGCTTCTTATAATTGACGTTACTCCTGGCCGCTACATGCTCAAAGTGAAAATAAATATAAATTAAATAAACAAAAAAATATGTGTACGCACACTGTCCGTGTATACAAAATGCGGTGCGGACAACCGTTGTGAACGCCGCACACACTAACTGCTAATCACTAATCTGCGGCACCAGACTGCGTGCGGCGTCATCGGTCAGGATTTCGTTGCTTCGTCTTTCAAGACACCTAAGTGGTGCGCGGACAATCTTCGGCGGCTGAGGGTCGAGGGAACCGCTCAGGTGTCGGCGACGTCAGCGCCCACCGCTCGGGTGTCGGCGACGTCAGCGCCCACCGCTCGGGTGTCGGCGACGTCAGCGCCCACCGCTCGGGTGTCGGCGACGTCAGCGCCCACCGCTCAGGTGTCGGCGACGTCAGCGCCCACCGCTCGGGTGTCGGCGACGGCAGCGCCCGTCACGTCTCGTTCAGTTGTTGGCGACAGGGCCACTGGCGACGGCCGCACACAGTGGGTCGAGTGACGTCGTAGTAGTGGCAAATCTGGTCACGAGCCTTTTGTTTGAACAAAATGGTGACGGTGCACATACCGGGAGATGAAGTGCGCGGATATGACTGGTAGGAAGCCAGGACGTTGCAACTGTGCAGGAGCACGCCTACAGTGAATCGTCGCAGAGGGAACAGTTGACATTGATAGATCCGAAATATGGACTCCCGCGGCGTGTGTTCTGAGATAAAAAAGCTCATCTACGATGTCTACTACCAAAAACACTACAACTGAGCGGCCAAGAAAAATCAATTGCTACAAGTCTGGTTCTTGAATCTAATTAAATAAAATGGAGTAGTTTTTCGAGGGAACGTTAGGAAGAGATACTATCATGTGCATAAAAGCAGCAGTTATCTTACTGCGATCGGCTCAGCTGCGAAGCAAATGCTCAGAATAATCACATCTCAATAGGCTTTCTCGGCCAACACTGCGAAACGCCTATGCATGCCAACAAACAGAAACGTTGCCCTCCTCTGGCATTGCGAAAGCCCGAACCCTAACCACAGCACCGCACGACGGGTGTGTTCTACACCTGGCCGGTGCCCGACCGCTGGAGTGTGCCGCGGCCGCCCGGATGCGGTGGGCATCGCGTCATACCGCTGACAGCGGTCGTGGCGGGAAAACCCCACCGCACGCCTGGCGCAGCAGACGAGCGTGTCACTGTGGCAGCGTCCGAGCAGTGCTGCCGAGAGGAGAGGACGGGAAGGAGGGGGGGGGGGGGAAGCTGCTGGCCGGTGCAGGGGACACAGTGGTCGCTGTGCCCCCTCCCCCCCCCGCCGTCCCCCAGGCGGTGAAACTCTGGAGGGCTAGTGTGCGAGCAATTATGCAGATCCACGCGAAGTTTTCTGAATGTAGTTCACTCCAAAAAGGTCTTGGATCTGTCAATGTAGATAACGTGATGAGTCGCCAATCGAAACTCTTTGTTATCTTAAAAAACTTACGCGAAATGTGTGCAGCTGTAATGACAGAAATCGACCGCCATTATCTTACCTGCTGCGTTCTTCCTTCCACTTTGTAGCATCCCATGTATTTTGAAAGGCGTAGATGGCACACGTTTCACAAAGCAGTATTTTCTGTGACGTTCTTCACATTCTGTTGCATTGTCTAACGTTTTACGTTGTGACAGATGCTACATTTTCCTGACCCCGCAACTAGTGTCCTGTCCTGCACTGAGCAAAGTGCACTCAGATCATCGATGTAATTTGACTGATGACTGAAAGTATTTATGTGCTATTTCCAGGGTCTTTGCACGCGTAAACCGGCGTACCCAGTCGGAACTTTCACGTTCAATAGTGTGCCAGTATAATTTTACATTGACACAGTCTTTTAATTCTGATATCAATACCCTGCTTGGGAAATGCCAAAATGCCAAAGCCGCCTGACCCTAGGTCCAGGTGAGATCAGATTGAATTTCTTGTAATTTTGGAGTCAAGAAATGTCAAAAATGACACTGACGCTTTTTTGCGTCGGCATATTCGCAAACGCTCTACTCAGCTTGATGTCATTTCATAGCATCAAAGATTCGGGCGGCAGTGTCATTTCACACTGCGGCGTGGTTTACCGCTGCTCCGCTGTCCTCTCCCGCGCTCCTCCACTGACTTCACATTACGCCACCACAGGGTGCAAAGCGACGCGACCCTAACGATGACGAGGGGCATCCGGCGGCTGACTGAGTGATCATGATGTGATTCAATCACGCGCCTGTACCGCACGGTGATTGATAGATACGTGCGGGTGTGGCTTGCCAGCGTCATATGACTCTGCCTTAGGGTGCCCTCGGCAGGTGTCAACGTGTGCAAAAAATTCCCCCTCGGTAAGAGTAAAATGAATCGGTTTGAGTGACATGAAGCCATATCTACTTGCGCGACGACCGAGACGGAGTAATAGAGCAGATGTGCCAAGAACGCCACGTGCCAAATGACGTCACACGAGAGTCAAATGACACTGAAATCAAAACACATTTGGGGGTAAAGTGAGCCTGCTCGTGCGTCATTATCTTTTATTTCGTGTCAAGTCACTCTTTGTAAAAACCGTCTCTAACGAGTTTAAGTGCAACACTTTGAGCAGTTAGTCTATGTTGTAAGTATCCTACACCTAACAACCATAAGACGCGTCCTCAGAACGGACGCTGGCAGGAGTCAACATAAACTGAATAGCAGCGTGAAGGGGAAATGATGCTCGCGGAACATTAAGCTACATTTCGGCATTAAACGGCTATTATCAAACCACATTTTCCACGTTTTAATGCAACAACTTTGAGACTTAACTTTACGGTTTGGAGTCACATGCGCAGAGGCAAATGATGTGGCGATATAAGTGGGCTTGCTAACAATCAAACCTGCATTTGACAGTGACGTCAAGAACAAAAGGTTGCTCAGAATGAGTCAGATGACATTCTTAGATTTTATGATTCTAGAAACGAAAAACCCTGACGTTGGTCGGCGTATTTTTTGTTTGTTTTATATATGTTAGTTTGGTTGTTAGGGTGTGCTAAAGACGACTTGTTACAGCGCCTCCTACACGCTCGTGGCGGCCAAGTTCCCAAAATCAAAGAGCTGGAGATTACATAGCGAGGTAGAGGAGCATCGGCTGTTTGGTCGGCCGGGCGGCCACGCATCTGAAGCGGAAAACATCAGCTGTAGCGGTCTTGCACCGAAAAGCCATGCGGAGCTGGACTTGGACGGGCAGTCGAAAGGTTTTTGCCCCTGTCCGTCCAGTTTTCAACGTTGTACTTTTGAGAAATTTTGGAATTCTAAACAATTAGAAATGTAATCGGCACCTCTAGTTCACCCTCTGCTCAACGGCCACTTGTTGCTTCTCTAATTATTATGCAAAGTGTGCTTTTGTGGGCTCAAACCGCCCATTCACGGAATTTTAGTCCCAAATCTGCTTGAAACGCCGTCCGTAGTCATAACAACTTTCGGAAGCAAAAGCTCCGTACCATCTTTAAGAATCCTTTACCCGACAATCCGTAGGCTTATCCGTGTTAGTCCTTATGCCACAAGGGTCATGTATGTAGAACGTAGCGTGCATTTGCCCGGACTCGTCCAAAAACTGACTAGCGCCTGTGAGTGTCGGGTCCCTGCCGCCGCCTCAGCGGCCGACCCTTGACCCCCGGCGAATTGGGAGACCCGCGGCCACGTGACGCCCCCCGGCACTCAGTCAGATGTAGAGCTCGGAAGACAGAGAGGGCGAGGAACGCACACCCCGCACAATCACACCACACTTCCAACCTGATTGTAGGCAACCATGCCACTCTACCATTCTCTCTCTCTCTCTCTCTCTCTCTCTCTCTCTCTCTCTCTCTCTCTCTCTCTCTCTTCTCTCTCTCTCTCTCTCTCTCCTCTCTCTCTCTCTCTCTCTCTCTCTCTCTCTCTCTCTCTCTCTCTCTCTCTCCTCTCTCTCTCTCTCTCTCTCCTCTCTCTCTTCTCTCTCCTCTCTCTCTCTCTCTCTCTACCTCCCTCACGGACGTTCAGGGTCCCAGCCCGACGACACCCTGGTGCCAGACTCCGCTCACCCACGTCAACTATACGTTTTGAGATCTTCACGGGCAAAAACCGTCCAAGTTATTCAGTCCTGCTTCACATCTAACTCGTTTCAAACGAACCCCGCTAAAACAATTATCATCCTTTTCGCACTCCACAATCCTTGAAAAACCCTCATCTTTTCATATTGACGTTGCGGAACACAAATTAAATCCTCCGTCGTTGGTAAGATAGTGGTGGTCGCTAAGGAAAGTAATTTTCCATTGGCAAAGTCACATATTCATGCTGTCAAAAAGTGCAGCTGCTCCATCCTTTTCTGCTTGGATAAAATTAGTCACCTCCTTACGGGCCCAAGATTCGTAAGCTTCTCACTCATTCCCATGTTTTTCCCATCTTATGCACTGCCTCTCGTTTGGGTGGGGGGCTGAAGCTTCTAAGCTAAAGCAAGCTCAAGGGTGATAAACTTTGTTGGGCAGAAGATCGTCCATCGATGCTCGTCCAGTGATTAAATGGCGGCGACTGTTTCAAAAGCGCTAGGTTAATGAGTATTACTGACCTGGGCCACCCTCCGAGAGAGCTTCGCTGTATTCGGGGCCCTTAATGAATCGCGGGCTTCCGTCGTGGCACACAACTTTTTCGTATTGCACATTTCCATTCTGGAGATGATTAGATGGTCCCCAAGTGTAATCATTGCTCGCCTGCCGTTGTGTAACATGCGCTGCGGATTTAGATTCTGACTCATTATTTGGTTTTTGACTCTCATGTGTAAACGACTGGAAGATTGACAACGTGAATTATCATATTAATGCTACCGAATCAAACAAAAGCCGCTTGTTGAAATGATTCATGAATACAACGACCTGACCTGGACTAAACTTGCCAGGCACTGTAACCACTAACCAAACACGCCCCCTTCTGTTTCAGGGGCCCCGACCAATGCAAATCGCCCCAGCATTGCCACTTACTTCGAAAACGGGTTCACAGGGCTCAAGACCGACAGGGAAGTCATTCACCGGTCGCTCGGTGCGGTGATCTCTGGGAGCAATAGGGGGACCCAACATGTCACGAGTACTAAAGCGTGTCCTTATCGTCAGTCAAAAGGTACTTAATCATCCAAGAAGCCCTCTTACCAATATCTGGGGTCGCGACCCCTACGGGCGGGGATTCCAAATGCGACATAAAGGCAGCCATTCGGACTCCTCTGGCCAGCAAGGATCTCAGGATCTAAGGGAGGGGCCATGCGCCCTGCCGCCTACGCGACTGCTATATTCTCGCGGCAGGAAAGATCTTTCACGTATGACTCGAGCGTTGGTTGGAGAATCAAACAGGTGTCACGCTGCATGGTGTATCAGTCCAGTATGGATGGATACGCTTATTTTGATCGTCCATATAACCATGTAAATATAACATGATGTGGGAATATTCGGCACAGGTTTACAAATCTTCCGCAGAAAGTGATACGCATGTTTGCTTGTTTCCTCCGCCGGGTTCCAGAACCACAGACAATTTGATTATACCAGTTTCTATAAGCCTCATGCAAGCATTTCAAGCACGGACCCTCTTTGCTTTCCATCACAAATGCCGTCCGGCTAAGCAAATATCATTCAGCGAGTTAGTGACTTGAAGCCCTTACTTCTATACTGGCCTGATCTTCATTTCCACTGATTTCAGGGAATAATAAAATCCTTTCCAACGCTTCCACTCGATGCCATCGGCGAACGATTTATGCGGTCCGGAAAGGTATCGTCCGTTCAGGTTGGATTCGTGGCAGGACCTTGTACCACCAGGCACCCTTGAATCTCTGAGCACAATTTCCCGCTCTCCGCGAGTGTTGGTTATTTCTATCGTGTGTAGGAGAAACGCGCACTGTTGTGAAAACCAAAACTATCGCCGGCGTTTCCCGTGTAGCCGCTCACGTGAAGGCGGTAACCATCCCGCTCTGGCCCGACCTTGAAGTTCTGGTATGATGCGTTCCTTATTCCGCCATCAAAGTCTTCCAAGATAATGAGCAGCTTGTACCGTCGGCCACCCTGCGAGGTTAGCCGAAACAGGTTGCTCATTGCCCACCAAGAATTCGCCATCGAGCTTTCCAAATCCAATCTTGTAGGACTGCCAGTTGAGATAAAAGTTCTGCCTGGGTGTGACATCGGCGCGCCGCTGGATGACGGTCCACTTGCCGCCGTTCCTGGACGTGTCACAGTACGTCGGCACCGGTTTACGCAGATCACTCACCCGCACCCGGTACACTCCGCTGGGGGAGCCAGTCGGCAGGTCGCTGCAGTCGCGGGTCAGTGGCTGGCTGTGGACCAGCGGCTTGCCGTAGACCGGCGGCTCGCCGTGGACCGGCGGCTGGCAGTGGACCGGTGGCGTGCAGACTGGCTTCGGGCAAACCGGCTTCGGACAGACCGGTGGCGGGCAGACTGGCCGCTGCAACTTAAGGTGTCGCAACTGGGCCTGCACGCTGTTTAACCGCGGCAGCACTGCCGACTTCACGGCCGCAGAGACTTCATTGATCTTTTGGTGCAGGCCGCCACACTGCCTTCCGCCCGAGTGCTTAAAGAAAACTCCTCGCACGGGGATGGAACCATGAGCACTACCAGAAGGCACAGTGCCGC